GGGGGGGGGGGGAATGTAATATTCTACTACAATGAAGTATGTGGCAGTTGGCACAATGGTTACAGGTACTAAGATGAAGAGGCACGTTCAACTCCCATTGAAGTATGATTGTGATGTATCAGAGAGTAGGTTATTCCTAATTGTGATGTAGTCATGTAACTATTGTAAATATACTCCTATCTCATGGCAAAAGAACAAATGAATGAATATATGTCTCGTATTTGTTTTTACTTCATGCAAGAAAGCGTCTCTTTTTGTACTTGTATATGTAAAAATCTTCAAAGCATAGCTCCATCTGATGTCAAAGGAACTGTATTAGTAACAATTGACTAAAATCTGTAGTAACAGAACCGTCCCGAAAGCAGGTACTGAGCATTTTAACATTTTTGATAGGCCCCTGAAAAGACTAGAAAATGAAAAGTAATAAGAAACTCAGATTTAAACTTCAAGCTTCAGAATCTTTGGCGATGAAGTGTCAGTTAGTTCGAAGGAATAGGCATCAGAGGAAAGGAATTGGCAAGAAAAGTATTTCAAGATGGATATATTATGTTCCTGATAGCTTGCATTTGTTCTCTTCCTTTCGTCTTGAGAATAGACCCCTAAAACTTCTACTGCTTCTAATTACTAAGAAAAACTTTACACCTAAATCCTAATTCCACACTCTTTGAATAGTAAATGACCTTGAGCTGCACCAATGGGTAAAGCACCGGAAATCATAAGCTTTCTTCCATACTGGAACCAAATGGTGTCTCCTCGTGTTGAGAATTTTGAAGTTGAATATCAGGTACCGCCTCGACATCCTTGTCAGGCTTAAGAAGATTACAAAAAGAATCACGATAGGCTTATAAAGGAAACAAAAAAACTCTGCGATAGGAACCAAATGAATTGACCAGTACACTCGAGGGAGGAACTTACCTGCCATAGTTGCAAGAGACGCCAGAGCAAAAAATCTACTATCATAACTATGCAAAATATTTTCCCTGCCCAAGTGCCACATGTAAGGTACCTAGCAAAAGCTTTTCAGGAAAATTAACCTGGAAGTTTAATCAACTGCAAGAGACATTTATTCATCTGCAAATTATCAAATAGCTACGGAGCTGACTCAAGTTGGACAATCATTGCTCAATAAACGATTAAGAGGACAACCCGAAATCGATGTTCAACTGTCTTAAGGCCTACAAGTTTAAATATTGAATCTAGTATACATGCTTCCCCAAAGTCTGAGGACACCAGATGACCAGTCATGCTCAGTTGCCTCAAGGCCTACAAGTTGACATGTAAACTTAGTGTACTCTTTTATGCACAATCTAGGACATCAAAAGGAGGAAAAAAGAATCCAGAAAACTTTATGCTGCTACTCAATTATCTATCTTACTTGAACCACAAATTAGGCCCCAAAAAAACCTCAAAACCACCAGTCGGTTTTCTGCTCAAGTAATTTATTTAAGATTCTATACAATAATGACAACAAGGTCTTTCACTTCCAAAAGAGAAATAGCATATAATTATTTGATTTTTATCCATTCTCAATTTATTTCTCTAGGGTGATAACATGCATTGACAAACCATTATTTACCTTCAGTATAGTGGCATACCTTGACAATCGATCTAGCAAAGGTGGATTGGAGCATTTCAAAGCACGGTTGTATACAATTTCTGTCCTCCTGGCTACATCAGGCCAACTGTAAAGCTTTTTCATCTGGCAGTAGAACTGAATGTCAGTAAATAATATGATCGCATACCTTTTAGATATAACAAACTCGTATAACACTTTATCTCATTACAGTTTAAAATTGTACCCAAACCAACTCCCTGCTATTTTTGTTATCATAAATTCCGCCATAGGGTGAAACCACAAACAAATCGTGCCCTTTAACTATTATAATTTTTTGTTCACAACTTCAGCACTAAGAAAGTGCTGACAATGCTGTAAAGAGGTGAGCAAAAACAAAAAACAAATCCCTCTAGTATTCTTAGAGGGACTCTAGGAGAAATACCTACTACTAGGCACTTTTCATATTATCCTGTCATCACTGCTAAAGAAACCTTGAAATGAATCTAGTGTACTGCAAAATTTAGCAACTCCTGTCATCTCCCTGTCATTTAAACTTCTCCTAAATGTTACCCTACAAGCCTCATTAAATCTGCAATCAGCTACGGTGCATCCGGGCACTGTGCCAATGTAAACAGGTCTGGAAACTGATCTTCCAGAGGGCCATATCAAATCCAATTGTCGTGCCAAAAGAAAGTCTTTCTACCGTCGCCAACACAGATGCACGTGTTCTCTAAAGATTCAGGCCAAAGAGATTGTTTAATCCTCAGCTTTCCATTCTTTCTCAGACATCCTGTGCTAAGTCACCCTCTTTTCCTTCCCAAAAAAGAGGAGTACATTGTTATTTAAGCTTCTTAATGTTTGGAAGTGATGCTGCAGATGCCATGTCTTTTCCCCTCTCTTTTTCTCTTAAACTTCTTAGATGTCTATTAAGTTTAACAGACTTGAAGCTGCTGACTAAAATATTCTTGTGCACCATCGCAACAGCCAACAAGTCCACAAACTGGATTCCTCTTCATAGAGAGTTCCATATAAATCTCATGAACTGTTGCAGATTCTACAGCTCACCATTGACACAACATGAACCTTTATTCCTTTTTACATGCACTCTTTCCTTTTTATTCTGTTAAAAAAGAATAACACCTTTGTATATTTGGAAAGTCTTTAACCTTAAACTTCTCATTTTACACCTGATGACATGCTTTTATAGCCACAAAAATGTCATGGAATGTTTTAAACCACAAGTTCTAAAGATGCTTTTGGCATGTGGTTATGCCCAGTCAAACACCACCATATAAAATGAAGCGGAGGGAGTAATTACAATGAGTATATCATTCACTAAGCATGCAAAGTTTTATCAAAGAAGATGAAGAACCTCTGGAAAACCAATTAAAANGGAGGGGGGAGATTGAATTGGAACCTTTTTTTGGATGAAGAGATTGACTTGGAAGATTTCCATGAAAGATTTGGGCTTAACCTCAATTTCCTTCAAATATCACTTATGATTAAAAGACTATTGTTACTTCTTAAGAGAGCAGATACCAAATAGCCCATGCTACCTTGCTAAGGAAAGACGACAAAAAAATAAGCAAAAGGAAATGTGGTACTAACACGATTGTGCATATCTTGTGGATCAATCTGGGGAAGCATATGTATAGCCCTTGTGATTGCGTGCACCATAGTTGTAGGATCTGGCGCAGCCAAAACAACCATATCATCTGGAAGCACCTGAAAGAGAAGAAGTAAAAAAAAAAAGATAAAATAGAAGAACGAACAACTAACAAAGTAGAGGCAAGGAGATAGTAACTAGTCACGTAAAGAGAAATGAATCTTGGACGTGCCTCGGGAACACCTCCTACACGTGTACTGACTGTTAATAATCCGCAACTTGCAGCTTCCAATATAGCTATGCAAAATGCTTCTGTTAAAGAACTGGCACCAGTAATGCAAGAAACAGGAGCATAAATGTATAGGATTAGAAACGGGGAAGGTGGAAACTGGCTGTTGGTCAACCACAAATCAGACATACTTAAATATGCTTCAGATGTTATTCTTTTGCTTTCAGAGAAGAATGAATGGTGGAACAGGGAGTATTTGTCAGCAGTTATACATTTATATCGCTGTGAGCAGCGGAAGCTCAAATTATACGAAACTATCTTGTCTGCTAGACTGTATTTGACCTTAGCCAACGAGGTAGTGTAAGAATTCAATATTTTCTTTTTCTTTTGATGATTCTGGAAATAGATTGGAACAAATGAATCTGATTTAGCTAGTCATCTGAGACAAGTTCGAAAGGGCCACATAGCATTCATGGTTTTGATACTTTAGTCTCGCATTTGCGACTAATATAAAAATAATCAACTATGTGAAAAAGTCGATAACACTTGAAGGTCACGTACCTGTTCAAAAATATATGGCCAGTTATTAGTACAGACCGTACTTTAGCATGAGGGACAGCACCCAACATATCAACTCGGTCTTGAAGAGAGTGTTTTTCCCTCATTTCTTCCAAACGCACTCGTTTTGGTCCATCCCCTCCAACAATGAACCGAACCTTAGCAAATGCAGCCAAATCAGTTACCAAAAGTTCAGAATGCACAAACAAGGTCAAAATCCATAGACTAGTTTTTTTAACGAATCCCATGATGATGATGATGGAGAACACTTACATTGGGATGCAAACGACATACTTCAGGGATAACTTCAACAAGTAAATCCGCTCCTTTCCTATAAACTAATCTACTTAACACAACAATAACAATTTCATCCCTGTTGAGTCGCTCAGGAGCAGGCTTAAACATGGCCGTGTCCACAGCATTCGGAATAACATAAACCTTTTCAGGCGGCAAACCAGACCTTAAAACCGTATTCTCTTTGCTTGTATGAGAAACACAGATAGCCTGAGTCACATCAGCTAGTGTAAATTGTAGTACCTTATTCATGTGAATGCTTCCAACATCCGCGAAGCCATAGAGAGAATGATCAGTAAATACAACTTTGTAACCCATGGTGCGAGCGTGCATTAGAGCTTCGTGACATAAGGTTGAGAACGCTTGATGTCCATGTACCAGCGATATTTTTTCCCTAATCAGAATTGTCCTAGTAATTGGAAGCGTCCCAAAGAAGGTCGGCAACGTGTTTTGCATGAGAAATGGCTTCCACGGGACATAATAAACTTTCAGGCCATTTGTCATATATCTTACACCAGAACGATTCTGATAAGCATGAGTCATAACTACCACCTGAAATTTACACAAAAGAACAACAAAAGGAATGAATTCATAAAAAGTATCTCATTATAACAAAATTAATCCCTTGTTAATAATATTCATTCAAGACCAATTTAAGAGAGGTGAGGTTGCTTGCTGACCTTGTGGCCTTCCTTAATCAAGCATTGTGATAGATAGTATATGTGATTCTCCACACCACCAAAATTGGGGTAGAAAAAATCAGAGACCATTAAGATTCTATGCTTTCCCGGTTCACCCATGATGACAGACCACTAAAGACACTCCTGCATCAGAGAAAACCATTCACACAACAATGTAAGAAAAAGGGAAAATACATAAGTTGACACCAAAACCTATCTGAAAAAGCCAGTTTCACACTCACACATTACGGGGACCTCTTACCCCCTCACCTATCGGACCCAAAACCAGTCATATGTTGGGCAGTGAAATACACTCTCCACGTCACTCTCCACGTAACAAAACTTTCAAAAAGGAATTCATAAAATTTCCTTGGGGAGTGGGTAAGTGGGCTCCTTTCACTTGACTGGTTAGTTAGAAGTGATCCTTTTTTCGCACATCTCCACTCTTTTTCTCTTTCATTGGATCATCCTTTAGAAATCAGTGCTGCATTATAGGCTTTGGATCTATGTTATAGCTTCCATTTCTTTGGTGAGGTTTTCAACTCACGTTGTTCAGTTTTAAGTTCAATTCTATTTAACAATACTAACAATACCCAAAGTGAGTACTGGCATTTTGAGTGACATGGAGTACACATGCGAAATGGTTGTCTGTATTTAAATCTATATAAAAAAAAAATATTAAGAAACTTTAGATGTATTTATACAAAATTTGCACATATACTATAGATGAACGATGAATGCAGTTATAATTTGAAGCTATTAACTTAAAATGTTCATTCACTTCTAGTTGCGTTGTAAGATCATGAATCATGTATTATACGATAATATAATGTATTGTTGAATTTTTACAATCTATGAACATGAAAGACAACATAAATGTGCAAACCTAGGGTAAAGTAATTTAATAATTTTGGAGTAGAAATATGGTTCTTACAATTCCACAATGCGTTGCTGCTCAGTAAGGTGAATTGTTCAATATGGTGCTGCATTTGAAGTCTTCGAGCCATAAATAGGTCGAATTTTTGCGCTAGATTTGGGTTGTATCAACTGTGAATTGACATTTGAATCTGAATTTGCTCTAAACCGATGAATTTCACCACAAAGGAAGCTCCGACCCGTTTTTGTGCCCCGTTTCCATTTCCCTGTGATCTCTTTGTTATTATAAAGATTAATAATTCAGGTGTCAATTCACAGGGACATATCCATTTTTTAGCTACTTATAATATTTATCACTTATTTAGGAGATTAGAAAACGATGCAGTGTTGTTTGTTCCTTTGCCAGGTTTGGGTCGTTTTAAATGAATTGATTTTTGAATTATAGTGAGAACTGAGAAGATTTGTATTGGTATTTTCGATTGTTTTGTTATGTTAACCCCAAAAAAATGTGTTGGATAGAAAAATAATAAATATTAGAAAATAAATTACTTTATCCTTTTTCTATGAACATCTGCTTTTTTTAATGTATCAAAATATACGTCCCTCTACCAATAATGTATTTATATAAATTTTCACTATTTGTTTTGGTAAATAAACTTTTTATTTATTACCAACAGGGACGTTTACAGCTCAATCAAAGCTTAAAATTCATAGATTTTTTATTATAAGGGTCTTTTGGTTCGAATACAAGTTATGCATGATTAATAGTCAAGTATTAATAATACAAAGATAGTAATGTATAAATATTAAAGTGAGAATTAGAAATGCATAGATTTTATTTTTTATTTTTACTTTATTAGATAATAATTTTTATATTTATATTCTTATTTCACATTCTATTTTATATAAATAAAAAAAACGTAAATTTCAACATAAGTTATACGAATATTATTTTACGAGAAAATTAAATGAAGCTACTAAATAATGTCTATAATTGTGAGGAGTTTAGTGTGGTGATTAAACCTATTCTTCTAACAACCAAACGGCTCTAAAATGATACAAATATTTATAGTCAAAATATTTAAAGTACCAAAATTATTTGATACAATTATTCTTTTTTAGGTTGAGAAGTGTTATACTCTAGGTTGTTGGATTATCGTGATTAATATTCTACTCTCGATATAAGATTTAAGTATATGTATACCCAATGTTTGGTAACGTCAAAAGTCAATGTCATTATCATTTCTAGAATATCCAAAATCAAAATTGGAACAAATTTTTTATCCAAATCTATCAAAATTTGAATCAAATACATATCTTAACTTATATAATATTTTTAATTACAAAATAATACTAAATAATTCAGGAATTATTTATATTATAATCCTAACATTTTTCCTACATAACTTCAATTAACCACCCTAAGTGGGAAAATAAAAAGGGGAAACCGATTTCGGGTTTATCGGCTTTTGTTCTTTTTCAAAAGGGATCAACCGCTCACCAACAAAAGATACTTCATATATACGCTACTGAATACTGGAAAGATTCACTTTCGCACCGACTCTTTTCTTTCCCTCTTTCATCTAAACCCAGTGAAGGTATGTCTGATGTCTCAGTTTTTTTATTATAGATTTATTCATCAGCTTTATCAATCCATTTATCAAATTAGATATTTTGGTATTCTCTGGTCTTTTTCTTTTTTGCGAAAAATTAAAAATAAAATTGGAGTACTTGTAGGTTGAATTTGTGCGATAATTGCACATTATGATCACACTGATGTTGTTTACATCACTTATGCTTGGATAATTCGAAATTATGGTTTTGAACTGTTGATAATTTGAGCATAATTAGTTAGGTGTTAAAGCTGTTCTTGTTAATTTTAGTGTTAATTTTATGAAAGAAAATGAAACGGAACTACGGTTGATAATTTTTTTTTGGGGGGGTGG